CTCTCACACTCTAAATGTACAAACATTAAAGACAGTGTCTTAATTGTAATTTTTATTGGGGTTTTCGAAGTCTCGCCAGCATTTTAAAGCATTGTCCCATTTTTTTAATCAGTGTTTTTCACTACAAATTAAAGAGTGTAATATTAATCTGCTGTTACAATTAAACCCTAGCATACCACTTAGAAGACAAGTTTATTCTTGAATGTAAGTCTAGGACTCATAAGGACTTTAGTGCTTTATATTTAAAGTGGCACCAAAAATTCCTTGTAAAAATGAAGTCAGTTTCCCAAAACTGTGTCATTGTGAAACTTGAAACTGATAAACATGCATCACTTGTTAGGCTATCTGATTATGCAAGAGCTGTGGATATGAAGTGTCAGTTAAGATGCAGAAGTTTAAGGGAACTTTGAAATTGTTTCCTAAATCTTATTTATTAAAAATGAGTTTACTGTATATTTTGGGATCCCTTAAATTTTGCCTTTATGATGTTACTTTGGTATCTAGTAGAAAAAAGAGCCTTTGGATTGAAAAATGTATCTGAGACTTTGCTTGTGTGTGTGAAATGGTGCCAGCTGTTCTCTTTGAGGTAGATGATGGGGCAGTCCAGCAGAGAAGCATTTTAACATAGGAAGGCTGTCTTAAACTACTAAATGATGCCTTTCTCCGGCTGCCAAGTGATAGCATGCGTATTGTTTTAATGTTTAGGTACAGAAAGGAGTAAATTGTCCCACATTGAGTGGTAATATAAAAGGCTCCCATTCTGATAACTAATTTGTATTTCTGATCAAGAGCATTACTGCTGTTCTGTTTAATTATATATTTTTTTTCTGAAAAACCTAATTTGTATGTTGACACAAATGTTGGCTTAGGAGAGAAAAATCTGGCGTGTTTGTGAATGTTCCATTTTGTAATACGTGCTTAATTGTTTTTAACATGTAGTTAGGATAATTTGTTAGATGTGTGTGGCTTACATAGCATTTTAGGCAGAATTAACTTGCAGTACTTTATCACTGTTGGTGTTGTGCATCTTCTTAGGATTTGTATTATTTAATTTGTGCATCTGAGAAAATGCAGCCAATTATGTTCAGCTTCCCTTGTGCTTCGTGGAGGAGAAAGATGCCAAATGTCTTTTGCGTTTCGTGGTGGCCAGTAACCTTGTACTACTCCCTCCTTTGTCCTATTGTCCTCTTCTCTTTGTTGGTGCTAGAGACTGAACCCACCACCTCACACATATCCTAGGCAGGTACTCTGCCATTGAATCCTTGCAGCTCCTTGCCACAGGAACCTTACAGTGCTATCTTGGAATTACTGAGCTACCCTGTCATTCAAAATCATTCAACAAATACTGCACGGTGGGCATGGCACTAGGTACTGAAAATACAAAGCAAAACTATCTTTGGACTTCAAGTTGCTGTTCAGTCTGGGTGGCCACTTACCAGGGTTGTACTGGGAATTTAGACATTGACTAGGGACAATGCTAGCTAATCGTTAAAGAGAGTGTTCTAGTTAGCTTCTGTTGTCTACTCGACACTGTCCACAGTCATCTGAGAGGACCTCAGTTGGGACATTGTCCAGATCAGATTGGCCTGTGTGTGACTTATCTGAGGGGCATTTTGTTGATGGCTAATTGATGTAAAAGGGCTCACCCCACTGCAGGCAGCATCAGCCATTGGCAGGAGATCTTCTGCAGTGTAAGAAAGCTTGCTGAGCCAAGGTCCTGGAGCACGACCCTGAGCTGCTTCAGTTCCTGCCTCGAGTTCCTGTCCTGACTTCCCATGGTGATGGACTATTAACTGGAAGTGTGAGGCCACATAAATCCTTTCCCCAATAGTGCTTTAGTCATGGCATTTAGCACAGCGGCAGAAGATGGGATTTGCTCAGAACCTGTGGTCTGTGACTCTGTTGGTTAATTGATGTGAGAATGGGGACTAAGTAGAAACAGGATGAATGCTTAAAAATAAACAAATGCAGCTATTTAAGGTGATGTTTAAAAATTAGAGAAATTGCTGAAGTAAAGGAAGGCATAACCAGGCATGGCGGCTCAAGCCTTTAATCCTAGTACTTGGAAGGCAAAGGCAAGTAGATCTCAAGAGTTCAAGGCCAGCCTGGACTCCATAATGAGACACTGTCTTAAAAATAAAAAAAGACATACTGTGTTTGGATTATGAATAAAATTGTCACACAAGTCCAAGTAGAGCTTTGAAAGTAACTTAATGTTTAAAGTTGTCATATTCCAAGTCAAAGTTTTTGAAAAACTTTTGCAAGCTATTCTGAAGATTTTAGATTCTAGTGTCTGTACTAGGAAAACCTTTTTAAAGATGGTTCAGTTGAGTGACTTTAACTGTAAAAAGTCTGAAAATGATTTAGTGAGTAGTATATCTTGAATTGAATTGTTTAATATAGAAGACCAATTAAACAGTTTTTTTTTAGTGAGTATAGCTAAAACATTTCATTTAATTCAAGATAATATTAGATTCCCTTGGTTAGAGTGATTTTTTTTTTGATGCTTATCAATATACCCTCTTATGGACTTGGAATGCAAAATATTTTCCCATTAAGCTCTTTTAAGAATCACACTACCCACAATGTGCCTTACAACCATCTGTAACTCTAATTCCAAGGGATCTGATGCCCTCTTCTGGCTTCCAGAGACACCAAATACGCAAAAACATGCAGACAAAATACTTATACAGGCTGGGCCGTGGTGGCGCACGCCTTTAAGCCCTGCACTTGGGAGGCAGAGGCAGGCGGATCTCTGTGAGTTCGAGGCCAGCCTGGTCTACAAGAGCTAGTTCCAGGACAGCCTCCAAAGCCACAGAGAAACCCTGTCTCGGGAAAAAAAAACCAAAAAACATATTTATACATATGTAAAATAAAAATAGATTAATTTATAAAAATACTCTTTACCCCTGTAATTCTTATTCTTATTGATATTTCAAATTTCTTATTCAATAATTCTTAGAAACATATAAATTACCATGTTTTCATTTCCTGAATTTTAGCAGTTGTCTGTATTTATTTGTGGGAGGTAACGCCCCCTTGGCGCTTGTGTGGAGGGTTGAGGACATCTTTTTTTTTTTTGGTTTTTCGAGACAGGGTTTCTCTGTCCTGGAACTCACTTTGTAGACCAGGCTGGCCTCGAACTCAACAGAGATCCGCCTGCCTCTGCCTCCCGAGTACTGGGATTAAAGGCGGAGGACATCTTACAAGAGTCACTTCTCCACTGTGTGCTTCCAGAGGTTAAGCTCGGCTTATCAGGCCTAGTGGTACGTGTCATCTCACCCAGCTTTGCTATTTTTTCTTTTTTAAAAAATTTTTATTAGCATTAAAGTCATTTCTGGATTTTGGAGTTGTGTAATGTTTATTCTAGGAGTTGTTCCTTCTGTTTCTGGCTTGTTTGTTTCAGGCACTGGGCTGCTTGTCTGATCTAGCCAAGATTTCTTCATTTACATTGTTTTTTCCATTAGCAAGATGTCCTTCATCCTAGCCCACAGACTTAGTGTTGATTTTACTTTTAATAAGAACTGCAGCCTGGCGCAGGCCTTTTATCCCAGCACTCGGGAGGCAGAGGCAGGAGGATCTCTGAGAGTTCGAGACCAGCCTGGTCTACAAGAGCTAGTTCCAGGACAGCCTTCAAAGCCACAGAGAAACCCTGTCTCGAAAAACCAAAACAAAACAAAAAAACCCTGCATGTTTTTACTTTCCTTTGTGTTCTTTCCTGACCTGAAATTCTGGGGCATGTAAACCAACTTCCCCAGTTCTTAGTGCTGGTGCCCATCCCTTGGGTGAGAAACTTTTTTATGTTTGATACTGGAAATTGAACTCAGGGTCTTGTGTATGCCAGGCAAGTACTCTACACTGAGCTACCCCCTCAGCCCTATATTTTCATCATGAGGTTGCCGGTCTCCTCGTACCTCCGAATTGCAGATGGGATTGGAGCTCCTCAGTTCAGAAAACTGTCCAGCTCTGCTCTTAGGCCAGCCTTCCTTTGAGTCACTTTCTTGGGTCTGTCAGGTCCTGTCTCAGTCTGGCACCTTTCAGTCCCTCTTTCACTTTGCTGTCAGGGACCCTTGCTCCCTATTTCCCCACAAGAGCAGGGTAGTGACCTTCATGGAAGAAGGCCAGGAGGACAAAATACAAAGCAGGCCAGAGTAAGGAAGAGGCTAGATAATTCATTCTTTAAAAGTTGTTTTAAAATGTGAGCAGAGATAATGAGCACTGTTTAGTAGAGGGAGCCATTTATTAGAATCAAGCAGAGTGTAAAATTCTCAGCCAGTAATATTTGTGAAATCCAGTTATCATCCACCTGCCCCTTTATTTATGGGTGCTTTTTTTTTAAAGCTTTTAATATTAGGAATATGGTGTACTGATTCTTATTAACAATTATGGGTTAAATACTTAAGTCAGAGCTAGCCAGTAAGAAACAAGCAAATGGCCAACAGCTTCATAATTAATATAGCGTCCTGTGTGTTATTTGGGGACTGCAACTGTGGCAGGCCCAGGCAGGTGGCAGGGAAGACTACACTCTACAGAATGGTATCTAGTAGAAACTGTAGAAAGTGCTGTGGCTGTCGGGTTGCTTGTGAGCAAGAGTAAGAGTCAGAGGTTCTCAATGCTGTGTGCTTTCAGGGTCCTGTTAAATTATTTGAAACGGATTTTCAAAGTATGAAATTGTATCTGTTGGGTCGTGTCATTTGAATGTCCATGTTAAAACTTGGGACAGACAGGAGTAGTTTCAAGGAATGAGAGAGACATAGCACTGTGGGAGAGCACTTAGTAGACGAGTCTTAAAAATATGACAATTGCTCTTAAAAATATGACGCTGCCAACATGGGCATAAGATTAGCTTCTGGGAATGGCTGTGATGACCAGTGGTCAGAGTGCTTTCATACCATGGCCAAGGTCCTGGGTTTAGTTCCTGGGTTCTATCCCTAAAAGCACACTAATCAAAGAGAAGTCATCTTTCTCTCAATAACTTTTCTTTCCACATCCTCCTACAGACAGATGCATCGTCGGGAATGGAATTGCCATCCTGGTACCCTGTTATAAAACAGGAAGGGGAAACTGTTTCTCAGCCACATTCATTTTTACACCCCAGGTAAGTGAGTTTTCCTTTGTTTGCTTGTTTGTGATTCACTTATTAACAGCTGTCCGTTAGGAGTGATTCCAGGAATTAAAACTTAAGTCACTCTCTTTAGGTTTTCCTAGTTATTAATTACCTCTGAAGATTCAGAATTGTTGTAGACAAGCACATTAGGACTGAACACACCTTTTGTTTGTTTTTAATCATAGGGAAATTGTTTAGCTATTTTATTAGAAAAAAATCAGAGTCTAAAATGAAGGGAACTATAAATTGTACTGAATATTTGCAGTAACCTTTATTAGGTGTTTTTTTTCTAGAAATAAAAAATTTCTACTTTGAAGTAGAAATTGAAGGAATCAATTTCTTTTATTTACCTTTAAGAGGTAAACTGACTCGGGGCTGGAGAGATGCCTCAGAGGTTAAGAGCACTGGCTAGTCTTCCAGAGGTCCTGAGTTCAATTCCCAGCAACCACGTGGTGACTCACAACCATCTATAATGAGGTCCCACACTCTCTTCTGGCATGCATATGCATAATAAATAAATTTAAAAAAAAGAGGTAAACTGACTCTTCAAGAGTGTGCTACTTTGCTTTTTTGTATTGTTGGTTTTTTTGTTTGTTTGTTTGAGACAGGTTCTCCCTAGATAGCCTTGGTTGGCCTCCTTATGTAGTCCCACTTGGACTTGAACTCACTGAAATCTACAAACCTCTGCCTCCTAAGTGCTAACATTAGAAGTGTGCACCTCTGCACCTGGCCTTACTTTGATAATTTTTAAAACAAATGGTTTTGAAACTTGAAGATTTTATAATAACCATATCCTTTCACAATCCAATATATTCCAATAGCTTTATGGTCCACACATGCACATAGTCACCATCATGCAGTTTCCAAATAAGTCAACAGGGCATGTTAAACCCATGAGAGCCTGTGTGCTTAATTTTAAAGCAGAATACCAACTATTCAGAACCAGAGAAAGAGTAGTAACATAGATTTCCTGCACAAAGAGATGTGAAAGGAGATTAAAGCGTAGGGCCATATCTTTTCAGTGTTAAATATCTCAAATTTGTTATGTAAGGCTTGCAGATAACCTACTGAACAATTTTATATGAACTTTGAGAAAAGTCAGTAGTTGTTCTTTCAGTTTTAATTTTGTATAGTTTATTATTGCTGCTGTGTTAAAATTTTAAGAGATTGCCGTATGGGTTTTGTTCTGGTTGGTTTTGTGTCAGCTTGACTCAGCTAGAGTCATCATAGAGAAAGGAGCCTCAGTTGAGGAAATGTCTCCCTGAGATCCAGCTGTACGGCGTTTTCTCAATTAGTGATCAACCACCCAGTCCATAGTGAGTGGAGTCATCTGTGGGCTGGTTCTATATGAAAGCAGGCTGAGTGAACCATGGGGAACAAGCCAGGAAAGCAGCTCCCCTCCATGGCCTCTGCATCAGCTCCTGCCTCCAGGTTCCTGCCCTCTTGGCTTCTTGTCCTGACTTCCTTTGGTGATGAACTGTGATGTGGAAAAGTAAGCCAAATAAACCCTTTCTTCCCAACTTGATTTTTGGTCATGGTGTTTCATCTCAGCAATAGAAACTCTAAGACACGTTTTGATGGAAGCATTGCCTGGTAGCTGGGCAATATTGCAAGAATATGTCCTCTCTTTGAGGCAAATAAGAAGAAGGTCCCTGGGAGCGCCTCATTGACTTGGTCTCACTGTCGTCAAACACTGCTTACCTGTGGGAAAGGAAACAGGCGCCCAGAGAAGCTGCCATCCTGTTCTCCCTGCAGCAAGCCTCCTTGAAGCTGAGCCGCTAAGAAGCTCTGCAAAGAATTTCATGCTGTAGTTATTTATGTCTTGAGGAAGGATCTCTGTGTACAGCCCAGGGAAGCGGGTCTAGAATTCACTGTCTCCTAGACTAACTAATTCATGGCATTCCTCCTGTTTTGGCTCCCAGGTTTTGGGATTATAAGTGTGAGGTGCACCTGGTATTTCGTGGTTCTAGTTCTCAGGGGCTTTTGAGAGGGAAAGCAGAGACTCACCTCTTCAGTATCTAAGTGTTTTGAAATTGTTCTCAAAATAACAGTGATCCCTCGGAGTTTTGCTGTCCTTAAGTGCAGACTTTTTTTTATTTTTATTTTTACATCAGTTGTTCTAGTATCAAAAAATGGAGTTTATAGAAAGATGCCACATCTTAATTAATCTTACGCATGGTATATAATGTGTGTTTTGTTTTTCAGCTACTATTTATACATGTGTGATAAAGTGGTTGCACCGAATGTGTCACTCACATCTGCTGTATCTCAGTCTAAAGAGGTCACCAAGACAGAGACAAGTAAGTTCATCTCCAAACAGTCAGAAAAGCCTCATGGTAGTAGTAAACATCAAAAAACAGTGTCTTACCCAGACGTCTCACTTGAGGAACAGGAGAAAATGGATTTAAAAACAAGTAGAGAATTATACAGTCGTTTAGGTAAGTATTTAGCAGTTATATTTTTAAAATCAGCTAGTTCTTTTATAAGCCTTTTCTATTTAAGGTAATTTTCCCCCATATAATCACAGCTTTTACTTTAAAACAGTTCTAACTTTGAAAACTCAGGGTGATTTCTTTGCATCTCAATTGTGAGCTTTCTAGAATGGTGGCAGCCTGTGGAGGCTGCTGAGAGAGGAAGGTGCGTAGCTTCAGTGCACATGACTTTGTCCCTTGCTCGCCCTTCCTTCCTTCCTTCCTTCCTTCCTTCCTTCCTTCCTTCCTTCCTTCCTTCCTTCCTTCCTTTCTTCCTTCCTTCCGTAGAATTCTTTAGGAGTTCCTTGTCTTTTTTCTGATTTCTTTCTGTGAACTGAGATGCTGTTTACCTGTTGTTGAGTGTATCTAACATTGAACCCTGTGGTTCAGGAGGTACAGAGCTGGGCTGATTACACAGTAAAGCAAGCTTGGGGCACACAGAGGGCATTCATGCACATGCTGGCTGGTACTGCAAAGAAAACCTGCATGCTTCCTATGCCTTTAAAAATGCAATGGACCGGGCTGGAGAGATGGCTCAGGTTAAGAGCACTGGCTGCTCTTCCGGAGGTCCCGAGTTCAATTCCCAGTACCCACATGATGACTCACAACTATCTGTTATGAGATCTGGTGCCCTCTTCTGTCCTGCAGGGACATATGCAGACAGAACACTGTATGCTAAATAAATCTTTTTAAAAAATGCAATGGACCACAGGAGAGGTGTACATGTTGATGCTGCCTGGGTCTATTGAGCATTGTGACTTTGCTCAGTGCCCTGCAGTTGAAGTCATTTAGCATCCTTGGGTTGTCAGGCAGTTGCACTACTACTTTACAACTTCCTGGATTTGAGCTGTTATTCCTGTGACTCTGTTTCCTCTAAACTGAACTATGATGGTAATAATTTATATGTCATTATATTTGGGTTCTTTGGCTCCCCATTAGATGTCTCAGTGATTAAGAGCTCCTGTTGACCTTTGTGAGGACCTGGGTTTGATTCTCAGCAACCACATGGTAGCTCACATCTTACCTGTAATTTTAGTTCCAGGATATTTAATCTCTGCTGCAGATACCATACATATGATATACACACATACATACATGCAGGCAAAACACTAGTGCGTATAAAAACTAAATCTAAAAGCCAAGTCAGGTACCTTTGACATTCCATAGAACTTACAAGTGTGTGACTCATTTGTCTTAAGTGCAATCACCATGTTGTGAAAAGCATCCCATCTGTTTGATCCCAGATCATCTTAATTGCTCCTGTAGGAGTCCCTGGCACCTGCTGGCAGTCACCTCTATTTTCCTTTCTTTAGCTTCATTGTCTGTGTTTGGTCTTATGTATGTGCTTATTCTGGACATTTTAGACAAAATGAAGGGCAATGTGCATGTTTTTATTAGGCATGTTCTCATCTTGTGTTATAGGTAGGAGCAATTTCTTTTAAGAACTTGGTGTTTTACTGTGGATATGCCGGGTTTTGTTTATTCCCTCTTGAGTGGGTGGATGTTTGCATTGTGTCTCTGTGTAGTTATTATGAAGAATACCGCCAACTTGTATGCAGGTTTTAGTGTGGACGTGTTTTCAGTTCTTCCTAGTATATGTTTAGTAGTGGAGTCTGTTGGGCCATATAACTGCTAAGATTTTGAGAGACTTAGAATTTTCCATAGTAGCTGCACTATGCTGGATTTCTCAGTAGTGTTTGAGAGTTTCAGTGTCTTCACATTTGTGTCAACACTTGTTACTGTCTGTTCTGAATGCAGTCATTGCAGTGGCTATGGTAACAGTGTCTTATGTGGTTTTGGTGTGTAATTTCCGAATGATTAAAGTTGAGTATGTTTTTATGATTTTTGGACATTGGATATTTTATTTGGAAAAAAAAGTCTGATTATAACCTCTGCTCGTTTTTAAATTGGGTTGTCTTTCCTATTGAGTTCCAGGAGCTCATTTTATATTTTGGTCTTATTAGACATTCGATTTGCCATTCTGACAATTCCTTTTACTTTCTTACTAGTGATACTTAAAGCATATGAGGTTACAATTTTTATGCAGTTAGGTGTAGTTAGCTTTCTTACCTTAGGTATCTTACCTAGGAAAGCATTGTCTAGTCCAAGGCCAGAAAGGTTTGTAATTAATGGTTTCAGCTTTTACGATTAATTCTTTGATCTCATATTTAGCTCATTTAGAATTAATATTTATACCATTTTGGGGTGTGGGTTTTGAGACAGGATTTCTCTATAACCCTCGCTGTCCTGGAACTCACTCTGTAGACCAGGCAGGCCTTGAACTCACAGAGATCCTGTCTCTGCCTCCCAAGTGCTGGGATTAAAGGTGTGTGCCACCACCTCCTGGACTTGAATTAATATTTATATACTGTTCCACTTCTTTTTGGTTTGTTTCTTTACATATTAGTATTGGTTCTCATTTGTTGAATTGTCCTGGAAGTATAGTAGCAGCAGTTGATGAAAGAATGGATTTATTTCCGGACTCTTGAGTTCTTGGCAATTTGAGTTTTTGAGGCAAGATGCTCACTGGTGGCCCAGGCTGGTCTTGCATGTGACCTACACCAGCCTCCTGTGCATTGGGATCACAGGTGTATGTCACTTACCACTCCTGACATGGATTCTGAAGTTTTTAGCTTTTTAAGTTAGCATAGAAAATAATAGGCCCCTTTATTATATTTTCATACATACATGTCATTCATTCATTGTATTTTGCTTTAAAAATAGGGATGCTTTCACAAGTTTGTATGTCATAAGACATGTCTCAGAGGCCATGTCTAATTTTGAATCATTCTACTTTTCTCACATATGCTACTGAAGTGAGCACTTGGATTCTGAATTCTCTTGTTGATTTAATTGTCCAGTCGTATTTCAGTATCACCAATTTGATTGTGTATGTATGTGCAGTGTGTGTTTGTACATGTATATGTACACATCTGTGTGAGTGCATGTGGGGTGAGAGGACAATTTGTGTATGTATGTGCGGTGTGTGTTTGTACATGTATATGTACACATCTGTGTGAGTGCATGTGGGGTGAGAGGACAATTTGTGTATGTATGTGCAGTGTGTGTTTGTACATATGTACACATCTGTGTGTGAGTGCATGTGGGGTGAGAGGACAATTTGTGTATGTATGTGCAGTGTGTGTTTGTACATGTATATGTACACATCTGTGTGAGTGCATGTGGGGTGAGAGGACAATTTGATTGTGCGGTGTGTGTTTGTACATGTATATGTACACATCTGTGTGAGTGCATGTGGGGTGAGAGGACAATTGGGTGTCACTCTTCACCTCCCACCTTGACAGTCTCTCTGTTGTCTTTTGAGCTTCTGGGCTCCATCTGTATCTGCCTTTTTTTTTGTCTTAGGAAGGCTGAGTTACAAATGTGTGGCACTGCACATCGCATTACAAGGGTTCTGGGGCTCAAACTCAGGTCTTCACACTTTGTGGCAAGCACTCTACCAGCCCCACAATGTAATTTCTGTAGCTTGTAGAGAGAGTTGAAGTTGGGGGTTGGGAGCCCTTCAAATTTATTACTCTTTTGCTAGATTGTTTTAGTAATTTTGAATTTCTCACGTTTCAGTGTGAATCTTAGAATGAGCTAGTTAGTTTCTGTGAAAATAGGAGCTGGGGTTTTGATGTGGATTATACTGAATAGGTTAAGTCTTTAGTCTCAAAAAAGTATTTTGTTGCTTTTGAGTTGATTTATAAATGGAGTTTTCTTAATATCACTTATGTATTGTTTCAGTAACTTTTTGCCAGTGATATTAATACTTTTTCCCCCTTCTATTTCTTTCCAAAGATGCATTGATCCCAAATAATTCTGTGAGTAAACAGAAATCTGAGTCTACTGTTTGCAACTTGGTGAGAGACAGAAGCAAGCATGGTGCTGAAGCCTCCTCCCCATCTCTGGTCAGAGACGTTACATGTGAGGATGACAAGGGAGAGATTATGGAAGAAGTGATGAGAACCTATGTAAAACAGCAGGAGAAGCTGAATTCAATTCTGCAGAAGAAGCAACAGCTGCAGATGGTAAATTGTCTTAAGAAATGGTCACTGTTATGATATCTTTTCATGATAAGAAAGTCAGAATGAGATACCACAGGTGGACTCAGGGTGGTTCTTCAGTGAGTCACTTGGATGTAGACATGCTTCCATAGCTGAACTTTAGATGCTTGGTGACTTATGTTTTCCTAAGGAGATGGAAATAAAGAACTGTCGCTCGTGTTGCAGGAAGTGGAGATGCTGAGCAGCTCTAAGGCAATGAAGGAGCTCACTGAAGAGCAGCAGAATCTGCAGAAGGAACTCGAGTCTCTGCAGAGCGAGCATGCTCAGAGGATGGAGGAGTTCTATGTGGAGCAGAGAGACTTAGAGAAGAAGCTGGAGCAGGTGATGAAGCAGAAGTGTACCTGTGACTCGAGTTTAGAGAAGGACAAAGAGGCTGAGTACGCGGCACAGGTGAGAGTGCGCAGCCGGTCTTTCGCAGGCGGTGGGCGGACGCTTGCTTCCCGGTCTTAGTTCCTTTAGTCCAGCCAGCCAGCCTCCAGAGTCGAACCGCTTTAAAGCACGGCTTTATATGCTCCGCTAAGATAGCCCCCCCTCCCTCTTCCCTCTCCCTTCCTCCCCCCTCCCTCCCTCCTCTCCCCCCCTTCCCTCCCTCCCCTCCTCTTTTTTTGGTGGAGGTGTGGGGAGAGGTGCCTCCAATAAGATTTTTTTTTCTTTTGGTTTTTTGAGACAGGGTTTTTCTGTGTAGCATTGTAGAGCAGGCTGACCTCGAACTCACAGAGATTCACCTGTATCTGTCTCCAGAGAGCTAGGATTAAAGATGTATGTGCCACTGTTGCCCGACTCATGATTTTTTAAAACCTTTATTATTTTCAGTTTTAATTGGGATTCTGTAATTTAGTTACTAATGTAAGATGAGCTTTTGTTCCAAGCTATGAAACATGAGTAACTCTGTTACTGTTATCACAAATATGGAGAAGATGAGCACATTAACATAGCTGTGGAGAGTTGGAGTGCTGCTATAAGCCTTTGACAGGATGCTACATCCTCATTCCCCTTGATACTCCTATTCCTGCAATTCACTATCGTGTCAGATGTCAAAAGTAGTAGGTGTTCTGAGATACGCATGAAAATAGTTCATTTTGTAAAAAGCAAATGGCAATTTGTTTCATAACCATGGTAAGGTGATTAAATGGGAAAAAAAATCAAAGTGATGGGAAACTAATAATCTTTTACATTTTACAGTTGGCAGAACTGAGGCAAAGACTAGACCACGCTGAGGCGGACAGGCAAGAACTCCAGGATGAACTCAGACAGGAGCGGGAGGCAAGACAGAAGTTAGAGATGATGATCAAAGAGCTGAAGTTGCAGATTGTGAAATCATCGAAGACCACCAAGGAATAGGAGCTGAAGAAGAAATGGATCTGAATGTGGTCGACAGGGGTTTATGTTTGTCACTTACTTTGGAAATTGAATTCTGTCATCTTATATGTGCACAAAGATAACTAGACATTCTGTTCATTTGTAGGACAGCAAAGTAAAGAGATTATATATTAGTACATAAAATTTTCCACTTCCAAATGAAAAATGTATGCTTCTTTGAACCTTTTCCAGTCAGCTTGGTAATGGTAACCCATGTAATTTCAACCTGTAGACATCTATGTGTATTTCTAAGGCAAGCCTAACAGTTACATACTTTTCAAAGCTGAAGTATGTGGTGGAAAACAGCTGTGTCAATTTTGTTATGCTTATTTCAGGCTCGATTTTAGATGTAGTGCTGACGTTTATGATCAGAGCGCCTCAACCCTGTATCGTTCTTCTCATTACAGAATATGTTATTACAGAATCTCCTTTTTCTTTCTTTTTTTTTTGTTTTTAGTTTTTTGAGACAGGTTTTCTCTGTGTAACAGTCCTGAAACTTACTCTGTAGACCAAGCTGGCCTCTGCCTCCCAAGTGCTGAGATTAAAGGTGTACACCACCACCACCTGGCTGAATCTCCTCATTTTTATATACCTATCTGTTTTTATTTTGTTCAGGTTGTGGAGTGAGGTTCCTCCTAAGAGCAGTTTTGCTGATGGAATGGTGGGACCACCACCCCAACATGCCGTGGTGGGGAGCACTCTTTGCTGTGCCTGGATGCTGCACATAAGAAGCGGCTGGGATTTGTCTTTCAGTTTAAGAGTGGCTGTATCTAGATATGTGTGTGTGACTTCAGAAAATGAAAATGGTTTCTGAACTTTTAGTAATGGTGTGAAAGTACTCATCTGCATGAGGAAAATGGACTCCACTGATGTATGTACATTGGTTCCTATGTAATTCATAACCGTCCTGTACAGTTTTTGTATGTAGTCTTATAAAGGTCTTACTGAAATTTATATAATGGATTTTTTTCTTTTAAATTATAGAATATTAAATATTTTAGATTATTTTGGACTTTTGTATGTTTAAATGTTATCTTAAAACTTGCACGAATGGACCATTATGACTCTTTAATCTTAAAATCAGGAATTTACAGTCAGCTAATAATATCTGATAGGTTAACCCACAATTAAAGTATCTGCTATTAGCAGGAATTTAGGTAATTTTTAGATGACAAATGAATTCCATGATTTGGGGAAGGGCAGCCTCTGCACTTTTGTTTTTATTTTTTTGCACATTAAAGTCTGACATTTTTACCAGTGAATTTTATCTTAGTTGATGCTCAGCTTGAAATTTAAAATTTTCAGTGACCTTTGTATTTTTCTTTTTGTTTACCCTTCAAATTGCAGGGTTCTTCCTGCCTCTGCTTCTCAAGTATTGGATTTACAGGTGTGGTCCCATCACACCTGGCTGTGTGTGTTTTTATTTTTTTAGGGAGATTTCCTGAAAGTGGCATTAGCATCATCGCCATGTTTTATGTTTCCCAAGCTGTCTTATGTCACTACGTGAAGTGACTTCATAGCTCTGCTTAGGAATAATGTAGCGTTATGGCTGTCATTGCCCCAGGGGTATTATCACATACCTGCTTATGGTCATATTTTGTTTATGATACATCTAAAGGCAACTTTTTTGTTTTCTAAATATATTGTGACCTAAAAGTGGATTTACTATGCTAGCTTTATAATTTAATGTGTTGACTTTTGTAACCTCTTTGAGGAGAAACATGTTAAATTGCACAGGGACCATATATGTCATCTTATTTAGATTTGGAGAAAGAAAACCACAGGCATTTATAAAGTAGCTTTAGCTTAGTTGTCAGTTATAGCACAGCTTGGCTATGTGGGAGGCAAACTTAACATCATTTATTTTTCTGACTTCCTCAAAACTTGTGCTACTGTAGCAAATGTAATTTTTCTAGTCTTTCAGTGAAACTTGCCTCATTACATAGTAGTTTAGCATATAGTCTTACTTTACAGAAGATGAAAGGATGTGCCATAGTTTTCTGTCTGAACTTCTTAAAATAAATTTTAATCAGCTGTAAATATTATACTTACTACTATTGAGAGTAACTTTAAGTTACATTGCACCGTGTAGCTTGAAAGCAGTTGGAATTCTGTAAAACTCCCAAAGTGACTTCTGTTTATTTTCCATATGAAACTTAATTTATGCATGCTCTTTTGTGTGCTGGTTACTATCTTAAAGTTTGTCTTGGTGTAGGTCTTGTGTTGTGCTAAGTTCACTAGGCAAGCCGATAGTTCCTTAGACTTCATATCCTGTTTAGGGAAAAATGAGGCCATTTGCACTGAAAAGCTGTATTTAGGAGTGGACTGTAGAATTTGCAAGTGGGGGAAAGACGGTGTTAGCTTTTATACTGAATGATGCTTGCTCTGGTGGTGACAGTCTCTCTGTGGTCCAAGTGTGGGAGCTCCTGCTGCTGTCAAGGAGACTCTTAAACCACCTGCCAGTCACAACCAAGACTTTGAACACCAAAAGATTTGACCGACAACTTAGGTTTGTCTTGGGCTTTAATATTTTTGAAATATATTCTTTGGCTTGAATTTCTTGTGTTTTTGAGGATAAGGATGTTTTATGCTTCTTGAGCTAATTTTATAACATTTAATATATAAACTGTTTATATGTAAAATCTTTTGTACAGGGGTGGGGTGGGAAGGAGTAATGAAAAACTCATTTGTACATAGTGAATTATAAAGCAGACTGAAGTAGGTGAAACAGTGAGTACCACTTTGTCCGCAGGCTCCTGTAGCCTTTGAAAGTTACACCAGAACAACCAGTTTCTTTGTGTGTCTGTGGCTTGTTTGCAGAAAAGCAAAATGAAAAGGAAACACAAGCAGTAAGAAATGTGTGGAGGTTTTTCCCTTGCAACTGCTGCAAAGCTGTTCCTGAAGGGTTTTGATTTGCTTCTGGAAGGTGTGCTCAGTATGTTATGCTCTGAGTGGGTAGGGAAGAATGTCTTTATTTGTCCATTGTGCATTTAATCCTTAGGGCAAGGCATTACAACTGATGACATTGTGTTCACACTGTACATCTGCTCTCGCTCTTGGATGTACTTGCTACTGGTTCCATGGAAGCAATCAGCAATACGTGATATGAACTGCTGCATTATATATTATCCTTGTGTAACTGAGATATTTAAACGGAACTTAATTTTTTCTTTTTCTAGTGTAAGATACTTAAGCATTTCCACTATTGGAAGAAAAACATATATGGGTATTTTGTATTGTATCTTGTTTAAAAGGACAGTCTTTTTTAATCTTCCCACTTAGATGGCTTTTAAAAATACGTAATACAATTTGAAGCTTGTTTAGAAATAGAATTAAATGTCATATATATAGCGTTACTGTTTTGGAATTAGGAAGTGATCAAATATAAGACATTTTAAAATTAAGCCCAGAAAACAAAATAGTGTTTAAAGTTAGTTTAGTATAAAAAATTTATTAAGATTTTTTCTTCAATATAGATACCTCACTTGAAAATAAAGCACAGCACACGTAATTCTCATGAAAACACCCTCCTAAAATAATTGTTAAACCTAGAACATTGTTTGAGTTATTAGAGTTTGTGATAAATATAGTTGCCGTTAGCTTTTCTGCTGGAAGTACTTATATTGGCAGTTTTAAGACAGTGTAATAGTCTTCAATTACTCCTCAGTTTCTAACCTGTGAAAGCAGTAAGTGAATGGTCCCTTCTGCAACTACTGAAGCAAATTGACTATATTGAACATAATTCAACTGGTAATTTTGCCAATGTGTATAGTTTTATGATTAAAATTGCTGGGGTTGGTTGCATTACATGACACACAAAACTGTCCTCTACCTCACGTGAAATAAATATTTTATATGGTTTTACTAAAAAAAAAGATTCATCTATCTGGTTGCTTAGTTTACAAATTTTGGATTATATTTATTGAAACATGACATACTGTGCTCTTAGCTTATACCTCAATTGTATTTTGTGCTGTTTTCCATTTTCATGCCTTGTACATAACTTGTATAGATTGTGGATGATATTCCCAATAAAAGCTTTTAATGCCAATGAGATTTGGTTCAGGTTTTCTCAGTGTCAACTGGTAACTTTCTTGTTCCCCCAAAGATGGACATTTTCCTTTAGTTTTAAATAGTGTACCTAACTGCCCAACTATCCTCTCCAACTCCCATTTTCCTCTTTTTGTATCCTACTAATAATGTACAGATGAACATGGAACATTTGTTTTATTATAAATGGTAAACTTTTATATAATAACCCAGATGTTGAAAATGCCAGCATTTTGGGATTGTTGTGACCCCTGGAACCCTTGATTTAACATTCCCTCTAAGTTATTTCTTACCATTGCACGTTTCATGTCTTAGGCAACCTGCCAGTTTCTGAGTCAAAGCCAGGAGTAGATAGGCTGGGTGTTTTGACTTGGGGTCCAGATGGGTGATGTCATTAGAGATGGAGGGCCTGCTTTAGTTTGTGACTCTTGATGGCATGGCAGTGTCAAACCTGACTTACCCAAATAAGTGGCTGGCAAGGAAGCAACACTGCTGTTTCCTTATGACCAAGATCTAAGTCCCTCAGCCACTGCCCCTCCTTTCTTGTGTGTAAGAAATGGGTCACTAGTCAAGTGGTGGTATGCTTTCTTTTAGTCCCAGTACTTGGGAGGCAGTGACAGGTGGAGCTCTAAGCTAGGGGCCATCCTGGTCTACAGAGCGAGTTCCAGGACAGCCGGGCCTACACAGAGAAACCTGTCTCAAAACCAAACAAAAGAATAAGGTCACTGAGTCCAGCTCATACCCAACAGAAGGGGTTTTCCCAAAGACACATACCAAAAGAGCAGCCCCCAGAGGACATAGAGTGCCTGTAATACTCTGCACAATTTCCTTTCTGTGGCACAGGAGACACACATTCAGTCACTAAGGGTGTAATTCAGTGCTGCTGGGCACATTCAGTGTTATGCAGTCATCATTTCCAGACTATTGGTCCTACTGAGCAGCAACTCCCTCTGCTTTTCCTTTTGTGTTTAATTTCACTACTTCTGGTACTTACATGGAATGAGAATATTTGCCTTTTGTGTCTGGCTTATACCAGATGGTGTGCTTTCTGTATCTACATGTCACACACATGTAAATGTTATTTCTTTTACCACTGAATCATACTCCTTTACATGTTAATACCACAGTCACTTACTCCATTGTGTGCTGATGGCTATTGGGTTGTTTCGTCCTTATAGTTCTTGTGAATAATGCTACCTAACTATTGATTTACAAGTGGTATTTCTTAAGGTCATGCTTCAACTGTTAATTTACAACTATTCAAATGTCCATAGGTGTACCTTACGTGTTCAGAAAGGCAGTGTAACGCTACCAGCTTTTCTAGATGTTGTGAGAATGTGTGACTTCTCATTTTATCAGTACTTATCCACAGTCATAGGAAATTTGGTTTCACTGTGGTGTGATCTGCATTCCTATAGTGGCTAATGATGCTGAGTCCCCTCTCATGCGCTATTAGCCACTTGTATATTTTTGGAGACACCACCAAACCCTCGACTCATTTTAAAAGCTGGCTTCTGTTGGGTGTTGTTGAATTGTATGAGTCCTTCCTGTCAATCTAGGTTTCTTTCCTGTGCTGAAGACTGAACCCAGGGTCTCTTGCACGCTGAGCATACGTTATTCTTTATCTTGATTGTCAGAATATGACTTCCATATATTTTCTACCATTCTGATTGGTCTTTTTCATTGTCGTCTTCCTTTGCTTGATGCCATGACAAAATACCAGACAAAAGCCACGTAAGGCTTATTTCACACTTTTAGGGGATGCAGCCCATCAATTGGATGGTGGCAGGAGCTTGCGGTAGCCGGTCATGCTGCGTCGGCCATCAGCAAGTAGGACTGCTGTTGCTCAGATTTCTTGCTCCTTTTCATTCAGTCTGAGGCCTCAGCCCTTGGGTTGGTACTGCCTGTATTCAGGGGTTTTCTTCTTCAGTTAATACTCTCTGGAAATACCCTCATTGACAAGCCCAGAAATTTGTCCCCAGGGTCATTCTCCATCCTAGGTTGACCCAATGAATCATCATACCTCCAATGGGTAAATTTGAAATTTAATAACCCAGTTTGTTTTTTCTTCTGTCACTTGTGTTTTTGGTGTCATAATAGTTATCCTTAAATTCAGTGTCATGAATCTTGGTCTTTGCTTAATTTTCACTTAATTTTTATATATGGTGCAAAAGTTCCTCTTTCCTTCCTCCTCTTCCTCTCCCTCTTTACATGTAGATAGCCAGTTTTCCTAGCCCTCTCGTTGAAAACAAACAAACCGCAAAACCCAACCTCTCTTTTTCCCATCAAATGATCTTGGTACCGTTATTTGAAAAATCTCTTAACCATATCACGCAAGCATGTTTCTGGGCTCTGTTGTGTTTGTCCTCACACCAGCAATACGCTGTTCGGACAGAGCTTTGAAGTAAGTTTGAAAATGAGGACTTGTGAGTCTTCTAAGTTTCTCTTCCTTTCTTTTCCAAATGGTTTCACTGTGTGGCCTGACTGACCTGGAATTCACTGTGTAAACCAGACTGGCCTGGAACTCACAGAGATCACCTGCCCCTGCCTCTCCAGTGCTAAGATCATGCGTGTGCGCCACCATGCCTGGCCCCAGATTTCTTCATTCTTACTGCTTTGGTAACTTGGTGTCCTTTGGATTCATTCCAGTTTCATAATGATTGTGATTTTTCATAGGATTGCACTAACCTAGGGAATGCTTTGTGTGGAAGTACCATCCTAATGATAGTACAGCTTAGGGAATGTGAACTTGAGATGTCTCTTCACTTAGGTCTTTAATTTCATCCAGCTTTGTTGTTGTTTTCAGTCCACAAATCATTCTCTTAAAGTTATCCCTAAACAATTCCTTTTGCTACAGAGAATAAATTAACTTCCATGTAGGATTCCATGTTTTTAGGGCATACGAATGCAACTAAGTTTTATGTTTATTTTGTAGCCTGGCACCTTGCTCAGTGGATTTATTAGTGTTCTCTCTCTCTCTCTCTCTCTCTCTCTCTCTCTCTCTCTCTCTCTCTCTCTCTCTCTCTCTCTCTCTCTCTCTCTCTCTCTCTCTCTCTCTCTCTCTGTGTGAGTATGTGTTGTACATGTAGTGTGAGTGTGTGTGTGTGGTATATGTGGCATGGGAGTGTGTGTGTGTATGGCTGAGGTCCTTGATCATTCTTTTTTTGGGGGAGAGGTTCGAGACAGGGTTTCTCTGTGTAATAGTTCTGGCTGTCCTGGAACTCAATTTGTAGAACAGTCTGGCCTCGAACTCGCTGAGATCTACCTGCCTCTGCCTTGCAAGTGCTAGGATTAACGGCGTGCGCCTCCACCACCCAGCCCTTGATCATTCTTGATGATGACGACTTTAATGATTGTGCTTACCCCTTTGTATTTCTGCTGTATTGATCAAAATGAATTCATTTTTTCATTTTGTTTCCTCTTTATTTTTCTCAGTCTATCTGAACTTTCATTGATTTTTTTTCTTTTAACAAGGAATGATTACTTTTGAGGGTATCCAAACCTTTTAAATTTTTATTTATTTATTTTATATGCATTGGTGTTTTGCCTACATATATGTCTGTGTGAGGGTGCTGGATCCTCTGGAACTGGAGTTATAGACAGTTGTGAGCTGCCATATGGGTGCTGGGAATTGAATCTGTGTCCTCTGGAAGAGCAGCCAGCACTCCAAGCCTCTGAGCAACCTTGAGGGTATCCAAAGCTTTTATTGCTGCTTTTCTGGTCTCTGTTTTAATCCTTCCTCATCTAGCTCTGTTATTTCTACAAACTTCAGGCTTCTTTTAGCCATCTTTTTGTGGAAACCAGATATAATGCTTGTTTGGGATCTTTAAGGTTAAAAACCATTCATTGTGTGTATGTGTGCATGTCGTGGTGTTTGTTTGAAGGACAGAGGACAAGTTTGCTGGTTCTCTCCTTCCCTGTGTTTTTTTCTGGGCTCTGGGATCTGGCTGGGGTTGTCAGGCTCGAGGCCAATGCTCTTCCTACCTGCTGGGCCTCGTGCTGCCCTAGCCTTAGGAACCTTATTTTAAATGTTGGTCTGTGTCACCATAAACGTCCCTTGGCGTCACTTTGGCTGCATACCTGCTATGAGTCTTGGCATATTGTGTTTCTGTTTTCTTTTGTCTCAAATGAAATTTTTAAATTTTCCTTTTATTTTTTTTTTGACTCATTGGAATCTTGTTTGTTTAGTTTTTATTTTTGGAACTACATTTGGTTCCCAGAAACTGGGAAGTTTTTGAAATTTCTCCTGTTATTGATTTCTAGTTTTACACAGCTGTGGTCAGAAAAGATTGTTTTTGCATTTTGGTTTTCAGACGCATGGAATTTTGTTTCCCCTCCCCCATTTACTTTCTTCCTTGTGTGCTTTATGGACTGAATCAGGGTGCTATGCTATACACACACTGCCTACTATTGAGCGACTCCCTTAGTCATCCTTAAAAATTTCAGTCTGTGTCTTTTTTTTTCCCAGTTTCACAGCCACATCTTATCTGCAAGGAGATGAAAAGAGACAGAGAAGAGTCACAAAGGTTTCTATAGTCAGTCTGTGTCTTTAAAGATAAAATGAGTAAGCACTATTCATTGAACTACCCTATCTCTTTTATAAAGATTTATATTATTTAAAATTGTGTGTGTGTGTGAGAGAGAGAGCCAGAGCCAGAGAGAGCCAGAGAGAGAGGCAGAGAGAGAGAGAGCCAGAGAGAGAGGAGTGCAGGTACCAGAGGGGGAAAGAAGGGGTTACCTCTTCTGGAACTAGAATTACAGGATGTTTTAGCCACCCAATGTGTGTGCTGGCTACTGAACTCTGGTCCACTGCAAGTATTCATGGAGGCTGGAGAGATGACTGTGCATCTTTTCAGAACATTTGCTACTCTTGCAAAGGACCTGGGTTCAGTTCCCAGCACCTCCATAGTGTCGCACAACCTTTTGTAACTCCAGTTCCCAGGGTTCTGGCATCCAGAGGCACTGCATACATGTATACATGCAGGAAAACTCCCACATATAAAC